GGGATCCTGCCACCACCACCACCACCACCACAACCACCACAACCACCACCAACCCCACCACCACCACCCCCACTCCCACCACCACCACAACCACCACCACCACCACTACCACCATAACCACCCCCACCACAACCACCACCACCACAACCACCACCACCACCACCACTAACCCCACCACCACCCCACCACCACCAACCCCACCAGCCCCACCACCACCACCCCCGCCACCACCACCACCACCACCACCACCCCCACCACAACCATCACCACCACAACAACCACCATCACCACCACCCCCACCACCACCCCCACTAACCCCACCACCACCACCACCACGTGGCACTGATGTCACCACGGCATGAACATCGTCATCAACATCGTCATCATCAACATCGTCATCATCATCAACATCGTCATCATCGTCATCATCATCATCGTCAACATCATCATCGTCATCATCATCATCGTCAACATCATCATCATCGTCAACATCGTCATTAACATAATCATTAACATCAGCATTAACATAATTAAAATCATTATTAACATAACCATCGACATCATCAAAGTCATTATCGATATTAACATCGTCAACATCATCATCATCGATATTAACATCGTCAACATTATTGACATCATTATCGATATTAACATCGTCAATATTATTGACATCATCGATATTAACATCGTCAATATTATTGACATCATCGTCGGCGTCAGTGTTAACATCACCACCATCGATGTCGTCATCGTCGTCTCCATGGTGACGACTGATTGTGACGTCACAGTTGTGCAGGGGGCGGAGCTCTGGGGTGGTGGAGGGGTGAGTGAATGGGTAGGTGGGTGAGTGGGTGAGAGTGGGTGAGTGAGTGGGTGAGTGTGTGGGTGAGTGAGTGGGTGAGTGGGTGAGTGGGTGAGTGAGTGTGTGAGTGAGTGGGTGAGTGGGTGAGTGGGTGAGCGTGTGGGTGAGTGAGTGGGTGAGAGTGGGTGAGAGTGGGTGAGTGAGTGGGTGAGTGAGTGAGTGAGTGGGTGAGTGGGTGAGCGTGTGGGTGAGCGGGTGAGTGGGTGGATGAGTGGGTGAGTGAGTGAGTGGGTGAGTGGGTGGGTGGGTGAGTGGGTGGGTGAGTGAGTGTGTGGGTGAGTGGGTGAGTGGGTGAGCGGGTGTGTGAGTGGGTAGGTGAGTGGGTGGGTGTGTGAGTGGGTGAGTGGGTGAGTGTGTGAGTGGGTGAGTGGGTGGGTGAGTGAGTGGGTGATTGAGTGGGTGGATGAGGGAGTGGGTGAGTGAGTGGGTGAGTGAGTGTGTGGATGAGTGGGTGAGTGAGTAGGTGGGTGAGTGGGTGAGTGAGTGGGTGGGTGGGTGAGTGAGTAGGTGGGTGAGTGGGTGGGTGAGTGGGTGAGTGAGTGTGTGGGTGAGTGGGTGAGTGAGTGGGTAGGTGAGTGGGTGGGTGTGTGAGTGGGTGGGTGAGTGAGTGGGTGAGTCAGTGAGTGAGTGTGTGGGTGAGTGAGTGTGTGGGTGAGTGAGTTGGTGAGTGAGTGGGTAGGTGAGTGGGTGGGTGAGTGGGTGAGTGAGTGAGTGAGTGTGTGGGTGAGTGAGTGAGTGTGTGGGTGAGTGAGTGAGTGTGTGAGTGAGTGTGTTAGTGAGTGTGTGAGTGAGTGTGTTAGTGAGTGTGTTAGTGAGTGTGTGAGTGAGTGTGTTAGTGAGTGTGTTTTAGTGAGTGTGTAGGTGTGTTAGTGAGTGAGTGTGTGAGTGTGTGAGTGTGTTAGTGAGTGAGTGTGTGAGTGTGTGAGTGAGTGTGTTAGTGAGTGTGTGAGTGAGTGTGTTAGTGAGTGTGTTAGTGAGTGAGTGTGTAAGTTAGTGAGTGTGTAGGTGTGTTAGTGAGTGTGTTAGTGAGTGTGTGAGTGTGTTAGTGAGTGTGTGAGTGAGTGTGTTAGTGTGTGTGTGAGTGTGTTAGTGAGTGTGTTAGTGAGTGAGTGTGTTAGTGAGTGTGTGAGTGTGTTAGTGAGTGTGTTAGTGAGTGTGTTAGTGAGTGAGTGAGTGAGTGTGTGAGTGTGTTAGTGAGTGTGTTAGTGAGTGTGTAGGTGTGTGAGTGTGTGAGTGTGTTAGTGAGTGTGTTAGTGAGTGTGTAGGTGTGTGAGTGAGTGTGTGAGTGAGTGAGTGTGTAGGTGTGTGAGTGAGTGTGTGAGTGAGTGTGTTAGTGAGTGAGTGTGTGAGTGTGTTAGTGAGTGTGTTAGTGAGTGTGTTAGTGAGTGAGTGTGTGAGTGAGTGTGTTAGTGAGTGAGTGTGTTAGTGAGTGAGTGTGTAGGTGTGTGAGTGAGTGTGTTAGTGAGTGTGTTAGTGAGTGTGTAGGTGTGTTAGTGAGTGTGTTAGTGAGTGTGTGAGTGTGTTAGTGAGTGTGTGAGTGAGTGTGTTAGTGTGTGTGTGAGTGTGTTAGTGAGTGTGTTAGTGAGTGAGTGTGTTAGTGAGTGTGTGAGTGTGTTAGTGAGTGTGTTAGTGAGTGTGTTAGTGAGTGTGTTAGTGAGTGAGTGAGTGTGTGAGTGTGTTAGTGAGTGTGTTAGTGAGTGTGTAGGTGTGTGAGTGTGTGAGTGTGTTAGTGTGTTAGTGAGTGTGTAGGTGTGTGAGTGAGTGTGTGAGTGAGTGAGTGTGTAGGTGTGTGAGTGAGTGTGTGAGTGAGTGTGTTAGTGAGTGAGTGTGTGAGTGTGTTAGTGAGTGTGTTAGTGAGTGTGTTAGTGAGTGAGTGTGTGAGTGAGTGTGTTAGTGAGTGAGTGTGTTAGTGAGTGAGTGTGTTAGTGAGTGTCTGAGTGAGTGTGTGTGTGAGTGTGTTAGTGAGTGTGTAGGTGTGTGAGTGAGTGAGTGTGTTAGTGAGTGTGTGAGTGTGTTAGTGAGTGTGTTAGTGAGTGTGTGAGTGAGTGTGTGAGTGAGTGTGTTAGTGAGTGTGTTAGTGAGTGTGTGAGTGAGTGTGTAGGTGTGTTAGTGAGTGAGTGTGTAGGTGTGTGAGTGAGTGTGTTAGTGAGTGTGTAGGTGTGTTAGTGAGTGAGTGAGTGTGTGTGTGTTAGTGAGTGTGTTAGTGAGTGTGTAGGTGTGTGAGTGAGTGTGTTAGTGAGTGAGTGTGTTAGTGAGTGAGTGTGTGTGTGAGTGTGTGAGTGTGTAGGTGTGTTAGTGAGTGAGTGTGTTAGTGAGTGTGTGTGTGTGAGTGTGTTAGTGAGTGAGTGTGTTAGTGAGTGTGTAGGTGTGTGAGTGAATGTGTTAGTGAGTGAGTGTGTGAGTGAGTGTGTGAGTGAGTGTGTGAGTGAGTGTGTGAGTGAGTGTGTGAGTGAGTGTGTTAGTGAGTGTGTTAGTGAGTGTGTTAGTGAGTGTGTAGGTGTGTGAGTGAGTGTGTTAGTGAGTGAGTGTGTTAGTGAGTGTGTTAGTGAGTGTGTTAGTGAGTGTGTTAGTGAGTGTGTGTGTGAGTGTGTGTGTGAGTGTGTTAGTGAGTGAGTGTGTGAGTGAGTGTGTTAGTGAGTGTGTGAGTGTGTTAGTGAGTGTGTTAGTGAGTGTGTGAGTGTGTGAGTGAGTGTGTTAGTGAGTGTGTTAGTGGGTGTGTGAGTGTGTGAGTGAGTGTGTGAGTGAGTGTGTTAGTGAGTGTGTGAGTGAGTGAGTGTGTTAGTGAGTGTGTGAGTGAGTGTGTTAGTGAGTGTGTGAGTGTGTGAGTGAGTGTGTTAGTGAGTGTGTGAGTGTGTTAGTGAGTGTGTTAGTGAGTGTGTAGGTGTGTGAGTGAGTGTGTTAGTGAGTGTGTGAGTGTGTGAGTGAGTGTGTTAGTGAGTGAGTGAGTGTGTTAGTGAGTGTGTGAGTGTGTTAGTGAGTGTGTAGGTGTGTGAGTGAGTGTGTGTGTGTGTGTTAGTGAGTGTGTTAGTGAGTGAGTGTGTTAGTGAGTGTGTAGGTGTGTGAGTGAGTGTGTTAGTGAGTGAGTGAGTGTGTGAGTGAGTGTGTTAGTGAGTGTGTTAGTGAGTGTGTTAGTGAGTGTGTGAGTGAGTGTGTTAGTGAGTGAGTGTGTTAGTGAGTGTGTAGGTGTGTGAGTGAGTGTGTGTGTGTGTGTTAGTGAGTGTGTAGGTGTGTTAGTGAGTGAGTGTGTTAGTGAGTGTGTAGGTGTGTGAGTGAGTGTGTTAGTGAGTGAGTGAGTGTGTGAGTGAGTGTGTTAGTGAGTGTGTTAGTGAGTGTGTTAGTGAGTGTGTTAGTGAGTGAGTGTGTTATTGAGTGTGTAGGTGTGTGAGTGAGTGTGTGTGTGTGTGTTAGTGAGTGTGTTAGTGAGTGAGTGTGTTAGTGAGTGTGTAGGTGTGTTAGTGAGTGAGTGAGTGTGTGAGTGAGTGTGTTAGTGAGTGAGTGTGTGTGTAGGTGTGTTAGTGAGTGTGTTAGTGAGTGTGTAGGTGTGTTAGTGAGTGTGTGAGTGTGTGAGTGTGTTAGTGAGTGTGTCAGTGAGTGTGTAGGTGTGTGAGTGAGTGTGTTAGTGAGTGAGTGAGTGTGTAGGTGTGTGAGTGTGTTAGTGAGTGTGTGAGTGAGTGTGTTAGTGAGTGAGTGTGTGAGTGTGTTAGTGAGTGTGTAGGTGTGTTAGTGAGTGTGTTAGTGAGTGTGTGAGTGTGTTAGTGAGTGAGTGTGTAGGTGTGTTAGTGAGTGTGTTAGTGAGTGTGTAGGTGTGTGAGTGAGTGTGTTAGTGAGTGTGTAGGTGTGTGAGTGAGTGTGTTAGTGAGTGTGTAGGTGTGTTAGTGAGTGAGTGAGTGTGTGAGTGAGTGAGTGTGTGAGTGTGTTAGTGAGTGAGTGTGTTAGTGAGTGAGTGTGTGAGTGAGTGTGTGAGTGAGTGTGTGAGTGAGTGTGTTAGTGAGTGTGTGAGTGTGTGTGTGAGTGTGTTAGTGAGTGTCTGAGTGAGTGTTAGTGAGTGTGTTAGTGAGTGTGTGTGTGAGTGAGTGTGTTAGTGAGTGAGTGTGTGAGTGAGTGTGTTAGTGAGTGTGTTAGTGAGTGAGTGTGTTAGTGAGTGTGTAGGTGTGTGAGTGAGTGTGTTAGTGAGTGAGTGTGTGAGTGAGTGTGTTAGTGAGTGTGTAGGTGTGTGTGTGAGTGTGTTAGTGAGCTACTCGAATGCTGTTTCCTGACTTCTCCTCACACACTTCGTCACCTTCCGCTTGAACTCTCCATTGGGGTCATCCCTCCACTCCTTCTGCTCCACAGAGACACAGACAAAGATCCCCCAGGTAGCCTCTAGCAAGCTGGAGGGGCAAGTGCTGTCAGACAGACAAAGATCCCCCAGGTAGCCTCTAGCAAGCTGGAGGGGCAAGTGCTGTTAGTAGCGAGTAGCAGCACCTACACACACACAAAGATCCCCCAGGTAGCCTCTAGCAAGCTGGAGGGGCAAGTGCTGTTAGTAGCGAGTAGCAGCACCTACACACACACACAAAGATCCCCCAGGTAGCCTCTAGCAAGCTGTAGGGGCAAGTGCTGTTAGTAGCGAGTAGCAGCACCTACACACACACACACAAAGATCCCCCAGGTAGCCTCTAGCAAGCTGGAGGGGCAAGTGCTGTTAGTAGCGAGTAGCAGCACCTACACACACAGAGACAAAGATCCCCCAAGGACCCCCAGGAACCCCCCAGGGACCCCCCAGGTACCCCCCAGGTACCCCCCAGGGACCCCCCAGGGACCCCCAGGTACCCCCCAGGTACCCCCCAGGTACCCCCCAGGAACCCCCCAGGAACCCCCCAGAGACCCCCCAGGTACCCCCAGGAACCCCCCAGGAACTCCCCAGTGACCCCCCAGAGACCCCCAGGTACCCCCCAGGAACCCCCCAGGTACCCCCAGGTACCCCCCAGGTACCCCCCAGAGACCCTCCAGAGACCCCCAGGTACCCCCCAGGAACCCCCCAGGTACCCCCAGGTACCCCCCAGGTACCCCCCAGAGACCTCCAGGAAACCCCCAGTGACCCCCAGAGACCCCCCAGGGACCCCCCAGAGACCCCCCAGAGACCCCCCAGAGACCCCCAGGAACCCCCAGGGACCCCCCAGAGACCCCCCAGAGACCCCCCAGGTACCCCCAAGAACCCCCCAGGAACCCCCCAGGGACCCCCCAGAGACCCCCAGGTACCCCCCAGGAACCCCCCAGGTACCCCCAGGTACCCCCAGGAACCCCCCAGGAACCCCCCAGGTACCCCCAGGTACCCCCCAGGTACCCCCCAGGTACCCCCCAGAGACCCCCCAGAGACCCCCAGGTACCCCCCAGGAACCCCCCAGGTACCCCCAGGTACCCCCCAGGTACCCCCCAGAGACCTCCAGGAAACCCCCAGTGACCCCCAGAGACCCCCCAGGGACCCCCCAGAGACCCCCCAGAGACCCCCCAGAGACTCCCCAGAGACCCCCAGGAACCCCCAGGAACCCCCCAGGTACCCCCAGGTACCCCCCAGGTACCCCCCAGAGACCCCCCAGAGACCCCCAGGTACCCCCCAGGAACCCCCCAGGTACCCCCAGGTACCCCCCAGGTACCCCCCAGAGACCTCCAGGAAACCCCCAGTGACCCCCAGAGACCCCCCAGGGACCCCCCAGAGACCCCCCAGAGACCCCCCAGAGACCCCCAGGAACCCCCAGGGACCCCCCAGAGACCCCCCAGAGACCCCCCAGGTACCCCCAAGAACCCCCCAAGAACCCCCCAGGAACCCCCCAGGGACCCCCCAGGTACCCCCAGGTACCCCCAGGAACCCCCCAGGAACCCCCAGGGACCCCCTCCACTCACGGCAGCGTCCACGTTTGCCGGGGAGTCCCCGTTAGGGTCGGCGAGCATGGAGATGACGGATATGAGGATCGTCTCCACCGTGTGGATCGGAAGCCATCGCTCCCCTGGCTGCTCATAGCCAAAGCGGTCCTCACCAGGTTCGTGCAGGATGGAGATGCAGACCTCGCCACTCTTGTCCACTAGTGGGGGGAGGGTGGGGGGAGGGTGGGGGGAGGGTGGGTGGGGGGGTGGGAGAGTGGGTGAGTGAGTGGGGGGGTGGGTGAGTGAGTGGGTGGGTGAGTGGGTGGGTGAGTAAGTGGCTGGGTGAGTGAGTGAGTGAGTGGGTGAGTGAGTGAGTGTGTGAGTGAGTGGGTGGGTGAGTGAGTGAGTGGGTGGGTGAGTGAGTGGGTGGGTGGGTGAGTGAGTGGGTGGGTGGGTGGGTGAGTGAGTGGGTGAGTGGGTGGGTGAGTGAGTAAGTGGGTGAGTGGGTGGGTGAGTGAGTGAGTGAGTGGGCAAGTGAGTGAGTAGGTGAGTGAGTGAGTGGGTGAGTGAGTGAGTAGGTGAGTGAATGAGTGAGTGAGTAGGTGAGTTGAGTGAGTGGGCGAGTGAGTGAGTAGGTGAGTGAGTGAGTAGGTGAGTGAGTAGGTGAGTGAATGAGTGAGTAGGTGAGTAGGTGAGTGAGTGGGTGAGTGAGTGAGTAGGTGAGTGAATGAGTGAGTAGGTGAGTGGGTGAGCGAGTGGGTGAGTGAGTGGGTGAGTGGGTGGGTGAGTGAGTGAGTGGGTGATTGAGTGAGTGGGTAAGTGAGTGAGTGAGTGGGTGAGTGAGTGGGTGAGTGGGTGGGTGAGTGGGTGATTGAGTGGGTGAGTGAGTGGGTGAGTGGGTGGGTGAGTGAGTGAGTGGGTGATTGAGTGAGTGGGTGAGTGAGTGAGTGAGTGGGTGATTGAGTGAGTAGGTGAGTGGGTGAGTGAGTGGGTGAGTGAGTGGGTGAGTGGGTGGGTGAGTGAGTGAGTGAGTGGGTGGGTGAGTGGGTGGGTGAGTGAGTGGGTGATTGAGTGAGTGGGTAAGTGAGTGAGTGAGTAGGTGAGTGAGTAGGTGAGTGAATGAGTGAGTGGGTGAGTGAGTAGGTGAGTGAATGAGTGAGTAGGTGAGTGAGTGGGTGAGTGGGTGAGCGAGTGAGTGGGTGAGTGAGTGGGTGAGTGAGTGGGTGGGGTGAGGAGCTCCTCACCATTTGGGTGCCAGATGTCTGTGATGAACCTCAGCTTGGGCGGCCTGAGTGGATAGTCCCTGGGGAAGGTGAGGTGGGCCTTGAACACCCCTCCCTCGCTGTGACACACACACAGTGACACACACACACACACAGTCACACACACACACAGTCACACACACACACACAGTCACACACACACAGACACACAACAACAACAACAACCGCCATTCGCCACTAAGTGGCGGTGACGTCACCACGACGCTTGTGCCAGGCTATGTGCACCCTGAGGCCACGTGAAGTGTCGAACGCCCGCTGGCAGGAGGTCACGGGGCAGATCCAGGTGCCACGGGTCGACTGACTGAGATGACTGGCTGATGCACCACCTGTGCCCCCTACTGTGCAAACCTGGTGGTGCTTTAGCCACCCGGCGCTCCGCTCGTTGTTGTGAGCGTCGCTCCTCCGCCCTCCGTTGTTGTTGGAGGGCGACTGCCTCCAACTGCCCAGTAGCGTCCTTCACGAGCCTCCTCCACAGAGGCCGATCTTGACACCGCTGGTACCAGTCATCGGCAAGTCCACTCAGCTCCACGTCCTCCTGTACCACATCACTCCATCTCTTCTCTAGCCCGTGCCGCGCCCGCTTAGCCCCCTCAATCCGGCCAAACAAAAGCTGTTTCGGCATGCGGTGGCTGGGCATGCGGGCTACATGACCCAGCCATCGCAGCCTTGCCTGCCGGAGGAGCTCACCGATGGGACCCTGCCCAGATCTTTCAAGGATTTGTGAGCTCCTCACACAATCCAGTCTGGTTAAACCCAGGATGGATGGTAGGCAGGTCAGCCTAAATGTTTCTAACCGGCGAAGATGTTCCATTAGGGGGGTCCACGTTTCGCAAGCGTAGAGAAGGGAGGGAATGACCGTGGCCGAGAAGACCTGAAGCTTAGTGCGGAGCGACAGACCAGGTAGCTTCCACACAGCGTTACGCAACCGATGAAAAGATATTGCCGCTCGACTGATTCGGAGTGAGACCTCTGCTGTTAAACTGGAGCCAGTCATAAGCACACTGCCCAGGTATGGGAAACTCTCCACTCTCTCCACAACTGCCCCATCACCGATTGGGAGTTGTGGGGGTGGAGTGTCCGATGGTACAAAATACCCAGGCAGGTGCTTAGTTTTGATGGGGCTGATGGTAAGGCCCCACCTCTTAGTGGCACGCTCCAGTCTCAGCAGCAGCGTCTCCAACTCCTCCTCTGACTGAGCAGCTATTACCAAATCATCAGCATACATAACGTGGTTGAGCAATAGGGAGCCATCCCTTGACCGCACCCGGGCATCGATTAGCCTCCCATTATATCTGTACCATATGGAGATTCCCCCGGTACAGCTATTGAAGGCTTCACGAACTACGTGGTCAAAATAGATGTTAAATAATGTGGGAGCCAGAGGACATCCCTGTCGCACCCCAAGGTGTACAGGGAATGGCTCTGACTCCCGGCCACGTAGTTTTACCCGGGCCCGCTCACCATCATGAAGGTCCTTAATGATTGTGAGCAGAGGGTCAGGTACTCCAAAAGCATGAAGAACGACCCAGAGCCCAGGCCTACTGATGGTATCATAGGCCTTGACCAGGTCAATAAAGCAGAGATGTAGGTCTTGTTGGAATTCCCTACACCTCTGCTGTAGCAGACGGACAGAAAATATGGCATCTGTGCAGGACCGCCCTTTCCTGAAACCGCATTGGGGCTCCGCAAGCCTCTCCTCAGCGTGCCTGGCAAGGCGATGCTGAATAATCCTTGCCAGGACCTTTCCCGGCACACTGAGGAGTGAGATGCCCCTGTAGTTGTTACAGTCTGTGCGGTCCCCCTTCTTAAAAAGGGGGACCACCAGGGCATCCTTCCAATCCTGCGGAACCCGTCCAGTGGTCCAGACTGTTGTTATGATGTCATATAGGGCAGTCTGTGCACAAACGCCACCCTCCCTCAGCATTTCGCTTGGGAGATCATCTCTGCCCGCTGCCTTTCCTGGTCTCAGACTCCGGATCGCCTTCAATACTTCCTCAGCAGATGGCACCTCAGCCAGCCACTCACAGGGGGTGACTTCTTCCAATATTTGAGGCACCGCAGCCTCAGCAGGGTCATCCTCACTTTGTGCCACGATGTTTTCCTGGCTGAGGGATTTTCCCTCCCCCAGGACCTCACAGAAATGCTCAGCAAATCTGCGAACCTGTTCCTGGGGGTCGGAGATTGGATCACCGTTTTTTCGCCTAATGATGGTAATAGGTGTGGCGCTGCAGGTTACTTTTTTGATGGAGTTAAATAGAGATTTGTGATCACGGGCCACTGAGGCAGACTCCATCTCCTCAGCAACCCGCGACCACCACTCATCCTTGCAGCGCCTCACGGCTCTCCGAACCTCCGAGCGAAGGCTGCGGTAAGCCTCCTCATTCTCTCACGTGGGATTCTGTAGCCGATGACAGTGGGCCTGTCGCTTTTTCTCAACCATCCTGAACACCTCCTCTGTCAGCCAGGGTCTCTGGGGAGGTCTGGACCGTGTACCCAAATCAGCCATTGCAGCTGCATGAGTCACAGTCCTAAACCTCGCCCATTTACCCTCGACATCAGGAGTCGGGGGCGATGCCAATCCCAGCCGCAAGCGATGATGAAATTCTCGCTTGCAACTTTCATCAGATAACTGAGACCAGGCCACTTTATGTTGGAATGGGGTCCTGGGTGTACACCCACCACCGGAGTGGAAGAATGGCAGGCGCATCTTACAGATGACTAGTCGATGGTCAGAGGGCAGATCAGCTCCACGGTAGGTCCTGGTGTCAAGGACATGGGCTCGCATTCGCTGGTCCGTCACTATGTAGTCCAGCAGATGTTCTTGCTTGGACCCGGCATGCATCCATGATGTTGTGTGGATGCGCCGATGCCGGAACAGCGTGTTGGTAATTACAAGCCCATGGGCTGCACAAAAATCTAGCAGCCTCCTACCGTTGTTATTGAGCTGATCTGGCCCATGCCCTCCAATCACTCCAGACCAGGTGCCAGTATCATGACCAACTCGGGCATTGAAGTCACCCAACATGATGACTCTATCCCGAGGGGCCACTTTAGCCAGCACCTGTGACAGGAGGTCATAGAAGGCATCTGACTCATCGGCTTTGCCTGCATCCCTCCACGGATGTTCATCTTCGGTGGGGGCATAAGTAACCACGACCACCAGTGACACACACACACAGTGACACAACAACCGCCATTCGCCACTAAGTGGCGGTGACGTCACCACGACGCTTGTGCCAGGCTATGTGCACCCTGAGGCCACGTGAAGTGTCGAACGCCCGCTGGCAGGAGGTCACGGGGCAGACCCAGGTGCCACGGGTCGACTGACCGAGATGACTGGCTGATGCACCACCTGTGCCCCCTACTGTGCCAACCTGCTGTGCTTTAGCCACCCGGCGCTCCGCTCGTTGTTCTGAGCGTCGCTCCTCCGCCCTCCGTTGTTGTTGGAGGGCGACTACCTCCAACTGCCCAGTAGCATCCTTCACGAGCCTCCTCCACAGAGGCCGATCTTGACACCGCTGGTACCAGTCATCGGCAAGTCCACTCAGCTCCACGTCCTCCTGTACCACATCACTCCATCTCTTCTCTAGCCCGTGCCGCGCCCGCTTAGCCCCCTCGATCCGGCCGAACAAAAGCTGTTTCGGCATGCGGTGGCTGGGCATGCGGGCTACATGACCCAGCCATCGCAGCCTTGCCTGCCGGAGGAGCTCACCGATGGGACCTTGCCCAGATTTGTGAGCTCCTCACACAATCCAGCCTGCAGGTTAAACCCAGGATGGATCGTAGGCGGACCAGCCTAAATGTTTCTAACCGGCGAAGATGTTCCATAAGGGGGGTCCACGTTTCGCAAGCGTAGAGAAGGGAGGGAATGACCGTGGCCGAGAAGACCTGAAGCTTAGTGCGGAGCGACAGACCAGGTAGCTTCCACACAGCGCGTGGTGGTGAGCGTGGTGGTGAGTGTGGTAGTGAGTGTGGTGGTGAGTGTGGTGGTGAGTGTGGTGGTGAGCGTGGCGGGGAGCGTGGTGGTGAGTGTGCTGGTGAGCGTGGTGGTGAGCGTGGTGGTGAGTGTGCTGGTGAGCGTGCTGGTGAGCGTGCTGGTGAGCGTGGTGGTGAGTGTGCTGGTGAGCGTGGTGGTGAGTGTGGTGGTGAGTGTGGTAGTGTGGTGGTGAGCGTGGTGGTGAGCGTGGTGGTGAGCATGGTGGTGTGCTGGTGAGCGTGGTGGTGAGCGTGGTGGTGAGTGTGGTAGTGTGGTGGTGAGTGTGCTGGTGAGCGTGGTGGTGAGTGTGCTGGTGCTCGTGATGGTGTGGTGGTGAGCGTGCTGGTGAGCGTGGTGGTGAGCGTGGTGGTGAGTGTGCTGGTGACCCACTAGATGGTGTCTTGAGAACCAATGATGACCACCTCCCAGTGGTAGATGTCTTCATCCTCAATGAGTCCTGCTGAGAACCCTTCCACTGGGTTCCGGTTCAGCTCTACGCACACACACACAGACACACACATTACACACACACAGTCACACACACACAGACACACAAACACACAGTCACACACACAGTCACACACACAGACACACAGTCACACACACAGACACACAGACACACACAGAGACACAGACACACACACAGCCACACAGACACACACAGATAGACACACACACAGATAGACACACACAGTCACACACACAGATACACACACACAGACACACACATTACACACACACACACAGACACACACATTACACACACACAGTCACACACACACAGACACACACACACACACACAGTCACACACACACAGACACACACACACAGACACACACACAGACACACACACACAGACACACACACAGACACACATAAACACAGACACACACACAGACACACACACAGAGACACACACAGACACACAGACACACACACAGACAGAGATACACACACAGACACACACAGATACACAGACACACACAGACACACAAACACATACACACAGATACACACACACACACACAGACACACACACACAGAGACACACACACACAGAGACACACACAGACACACACAGAGACACACACACACACACACAGACACACACACACAGACACACACACACATACACACAGACACACACACACATACACACAGACACACACACACAGACACATACACACAGATACACACAGACACACACAGACACACACACACAGACGCACACAGATACACACACACAAATACACACACAGACACACGCAGGCACACACAGACACACACACACAGATACACACAGACACACACAGAGACACACACAGAGACACACACAGAGACACGCGCAGACACACACAGAGATACACACACACACAGACACACACACACCCAGACACACACCCAGACACACACAGAGAGACACACCCAGACACACATACAGAGACACACACAGAGACACACACAGAGACACACACAGAGAGACACACACAGAGACACACACAGATACACAGAGACACACACAGAGAGACACACACAGATAGACACACACACAGATAGACACACACACACAGACACATAGATAGACACACACAGATAGACACACACAGATAGACACACACACAGATACACACACACAGAGAGACAAACACACACAGAGAGACAAACACACAGATTCACACACACAGATAGACACACACAAAGAGACAAACACACGCAGATAGACAGACACACACACAGACACACACACAGATAGACACACACACAGATAGACACATACACAGATAGACACACAGATAGACACACATAGACACACACAGATAGACACACACAGATAGACACACACAGATAAGCACAGACAGACACACACACACAGACAGACACACACAGAGACACACACAGAGACACACACAGAGACACGCGCAGACACACACAGAGATACACACACACAGACACACACACAGACACACACATACACACACCCAGACACACACAGAGAGACACACCCAGACACACACACACAGAGACACACCCAGACACACACACACAAAGACTCACACAGAGAGACGCACAGAGACACACACAGAGACACACACAGAGACATACACAGAGAGACACACACAGAGACACACACAGAGACACACACAGATAGACACACACAGAGAGACACATAGATAGACACACACAGATAGACACACACAGAGAGACAAACACACACAGAGAGACAAACACACAGATACACACACACAGATAGACACACACAAAGAGACAAACACACGCAGATAGACAGACACACATACAGATAGACACACACACAGACACACACACAGATAGACACACACACACAGATAGACACATACACAGATAGACACACACAGATAGACACACACACAGATAGAGACACACACAGACAGACACAAACACATAGACACACACAGATAGACACACACAGATAGACACACACAGATAAGCACAGACAGACACACACACACACACAGACACACACAGATAGACACACACACAGATAGACACACACATAGACACACACATAGATAGACACACACACATAGACACACACAGACACACACAGATAGACACAAACAGATAGACACACAGATAGACACACAGATAGACACACACACAGACACACACACAGACACACAGATAGACACACACACAGATAGACACACACAGATAGACACACACAGATAGACACACACAGACAGACACACACAGATAGACACACACAGATAGACACACACAGATAGACACACACAGAGAGACACACACATAGATAGACACACACATAGATAGACACACACAGACACACACAGATAGACACACACACAGATAGACACACAGAAAGACACCCACACAGACAGACACACACAGATAGACACACACACACAGACACACACACAGACATACACACAGACAGACACACACAGATAGACACACACAGATAGAGACACACACAGACAGACACAAACAGATAGACACACACACAGATAAGACACACACACAGATAGACACACACAGATAGACAAACACACAGATAGACACACAGAGAGACACACAGATAGACACACACACAGATAGACACACACAGATAGACACACAGATAGACACACACACAGACAGACACACACACAGATAGACACACACACAGATAGACATACACAGATAGACACACACAGACAGACACACACACAGATAGACACACAGACAGACACACACAGACAGACACACACAGACAGACACACACACAGACAGCCACACACACAGATAGATACACACAGAGACACACAGACACACAGACAGACACACACACAGACAGACACACACAGAGAGACACACAGATAGACACACACACAGATAGACACACACAGACACACAGATAGACACACACAGACAGACAGACACACACAGATAGACACACACACAGATAGACACACAGCTGACGATGATGATAGTGGTGTTGACAATGCTGATGACAATGATGATGATGGTGTTGACGATGATGATGGTGGTGATGACGATGATGGTGGTGTTGACGGTGGTGATGATGATGGTGATGACGATGATGGTGTTGACGATGATGATGGTGGTGATGACGATGATGGTGGTGTTGACGGTGGTGATGATGATGGTGATGACGATGGTGGTGTTGACGGTGATGACGGTGGTGTTGACGATGATGATGATGGTGTTGACGATGATGATGATGGTGATAATGATGGTGATGACGATATTGATGGTGTTGATGACGATGATGATGGTGATTACGATGATGGTGATTACGATGATGGTGATGACCATGATGGTGATGACGATGATGGTGGTGATGACGATGATGGTGTTGATGACGATGATGGTGATGTTGACGATGATGGTGACGATGATGGTTGTGACGGTGGTGATGTTGGTGTTGACGATGATGGTGATGGTGGTGATGACGATGATGGTGGTGATGACGATGATGATGGTGATGACGATGATGGTGTTGACGGTGATGGTGTTGACGGTGATGGTGTTGACGATGATGATGGTGGTGTTGATGACGATGATGGTGTTGATGACGATGATGGTGTTGATGACGATGATGGTGGTGTTGACGATAATGATGGTGATGATGGTGGTGATGACGATGATGGTGGTGATGACGGTGGTGACGATGATGGTGTTGACGATGATGTTGACGATGATGATGATGGTGTTGACGATGATGATGGTGGTGTTGACGGTGGTGATGATGATGATGATGGTGTTGATGGTGGTGTTGACGATGATGATGGTGGTGGTGTTGACGATGATGATGATGGTGTTGACGGTGATGTTGACGATGATGATGGTGGTGTTGACGATGATGGTGTTGATGACGATGATGGTGTTGACGGTGACGATGATGGTGTTGATGGTGGTGTTGACGATGATGATGGTGTTGATGTTGATGGTGGTGTTGACGGTGACGATGATGATGATGGTGTTGATGACGATGATGGTGATGATGACGGTGGTGATGATGATGGTGTTGACGATGATGTTGACGATGATGATGATGGTGTTGACGGTGGTGATGATGATGATGGTGTTGATGGTGGCGGTGTTGACGGTGACGATGATGGTGTTGATGGTGGTGTTGACGGTGACGATGATGGTGATGACGATGATGATGGCGGTGTTGACGGTGGTAATGACGGTCGTGGTGGTGATGCTGATATTTACAACACCCCCCTACATTCCACGTTACCATGGCCAAGCCCTGCACATCACCACACACAAGGAGCGAACGCCGCAGACAAATCTCCCCCCCCCCCCCCTGTCGGATAGCCTCCCCTACCGAGCGAGACGCGCCTCGGCCGGTAAACCCAACTAGGCCGCATCACCCCCTTCACCCCGCTAGGATAGCCTCCCCTACCGAGCGAGGCGCGCCTCGTCCGGTAAGGCCAACTAGGCCGCACTACCCTTCCCCACCCACCCCGCTAGGATAGCCTCCCCTACCGAGCCAGGCGCGCCTCGCCCGGTAAGGCCAACTAGGCCGCACTACCCTTCCCCACCCACCCCGCTAGGATAGCCTCCCCTACCGAGCGAGACGCGCCTCGGCCGGCAGAGCCAACTAGGCCGCAACACCCCCCCCTTCCCCTGCTCCCCCTTCCGAGGGCCCCGTCTCTTTATCACAAAAAACTCCGAGGCCAGTCGGGGGAGAATCTCCTCCCCCTCCTCTCTCCTCCTCCTCGTCGTCGTCCTCACCCGCAAGCTGCCGCCTCAGCAGCAGGGCAGACTGCTCGGTCATGACGCGAAACGTCGAAGCGGAGACACAGCGGCAACGGCGGGGAGAGCGAGGATTGAGAAGTGAGGGCCCGGGAGGCCAGTGCGCATGCGCGTTGTGGGTGTGGGGTGTGTGTGTGTGGGGTGTGTGTGTGTCACTGTGTGTGTGTGTCACTGTGTGTGTGTCACTGTGTGTGTGTCACTGTGTGTGTGTCATTGTGTGTGTGTCACTGTATGTGTGTCACTGTGTGTTTTTGGGGTGTGTGTGTGTGGGGTGTGTGTGTGTGTGGGGTGTGTGTGTGTGTCACTGTGTGTGTGTCACTGTGTGTGTGTCACTGTGTGTGTGTCACTGTTGCCAGGCACGCTGAGGAGAGGCTTGCGGAGCCCCAATGCGGTTTCAGGAAAGGGCGGTCCTGCACAGATGCCATATTTTCTGTCCGTCTGCTACAGCAGAGGTGTAGGGAATTCCAACAAGACCTACATCTCTGCTTTATTGACCTGGTCAAGGCCTATGATACCATCAGTAGGCCTGGGCTCTGGGTCGTTCTTCGTGCTTTTGGAGTACCTGACCCTCTGCTCACGATCATTAAGGACCTTCATGATGGTGAGCGGGCCCGGGTAAAACTACGTGGCCGGGAGTCAGAGCCATTCCCTGTACACCTTGGGGTGCGACAGGGATGTCCTCTGGCTCCCACATTATTTAACATCTATTTTGACCACGTAGTTCGTGAAGCCTTCAATAGCTGTACCGGGGGAATCTCCATATGGTACAGATATAATGGGAGGCTAATCGATGCCCGGGTGCGGTCAAGGGATGGCTCCCTATTGCTCAACCACGTTATGTATGCTGATGACTTGGTAATAGCTGCTCAGTCAGAGGAGGAGTTGCAGACGCTGCTGCTGAGACTGGAGCGTGCCACTAAGAGGTGGGGCCTTACCATCAGCCCCACCAAAACTAAGCACCTGCCTGGGTATTTTGTACCATCGGACACTCCACCCCCACAACTCCCAATCGGTGATGGGGCAGTTGTGGAGAGAGTGGAGAGTTTCCCATACCTGGGCAGTGTGCTTATGACTGGCTCCAGTTTAACAGCAGAGGTCTCACTCCGAATCAGTCGAGCGGCAATATCTTTTCATCGGTTGCGTAACGCTGTGTGGAAGCTACCTGGTCTGTCGCTCCGCACTAAGCTTCAGGTCTTCTCGGCCACGGTCATTCCCTCCCTTCTCTACGCTTGCGAAACGTGGACCCCCCTAATGGAACATCTTCGCCGGTTAGAAACATTTAGGCTGACCTGCCTACGATCCATCCTGGGTTTAACCAGACTGGATTGTGTGAGGAGCTCACAAATCCTTGAAAGATCTGGGCCGGGTCCCATCGGTGAGCTCCTCCGGCAGGCAAGGCTGCGATGGCTGGGTCATGTAGCCCGCATGCCCAGCCACCGCATGCCGAAACAGCTTTTGTTTGGCCGGATTGAGGGGGCTAAGCGGGCGCGGCACGGGCTAGAGAAGAGATGGAGTGATGTGGTACAGGAGGACGTGGAGCTGAGTGGACTTGCCGATGACTGGTACCAGCGGTGTCAAGATCGGCCTCTGTGGAGGAGGCTCGTGAAGGATGCTACTGGGCAGTTGGAGGCAGTCGCCCTCCAACAACAACGGAGGGCGGAGGAGCGACGCTCACAACAGCGAGCGGAGCGCCGGGTGGCTAAAGCACAGCAGGTTGGCACAGTAGGGGGCACAGGTGGTGCATCAGCCAGTCATCTCAGTCAGTCGACCCGTGGCACCTGGGTCTGCCCCGTGACCTCCTGCCAGCGGGCGTTCGACACTTCACGTGGCCTCAGGGTGCACATAGCCTGGCACAAGCGTCGTGGTGACGTCACCGCCACTTAGTGGCGAATGGCGGTTGTTGTTGTTGTTGTTGTGTCACTGTGTGTGTGTCACTGTGTGTGTGTCACTGTGTGTGTGTCACTGTGTGTGTCACTGTGTGTGTGTGGGGTGTGTGTGTGTGGGGTGTGTGTGTGGGGTGTGTGTGGGTGTGGGGTGTGTGTGTGTGTCACTGTGTGTGTGTGTCACTGTGTGTGTGTCACTGTGTGTGGGTGTGGGGTGTGTGTGGGGTGTGTGTCACTGTGTGTGTGTGTCACTGTGTGTGTCACTGTGTGTGGGTGTGGGGTGTGTGTGTAATAGCTGCTCAGTCAGAGGAGGAGTTGGAGACGCTGCTGCTGAGACTGGAGCGTGCCACTAAGAGGTGGGGCCTTACCATCAGCCCCACCAAAACTAAGCACCTGCCTGGGTATTTTGTACCATCGGACACTCCACCCCCACAACTCCCAATCGGTGATGGGACAGTTGTGGAGAGAGTGGAGAGTTTCCCATACCTGGGCATTGTGCTTATGACTGGCTCCAGTTTAACAGCAGAGGTCTCACTCCGAATCAGTCGAGCGGCAATATCTTTTCATCGGTTGCGTAACGCTGTGTGGAAGCTACCTGGTCTGTCGCTCCGCACTAAGCTTCAGGTCTTCTCGGCCACGGTCATTCCCTCCCTTCTCTACGCTTGCGAAACGTGGACCCCCCTAATGGAACATCTTCGCTGGTTAGAAACATTTAGGCTGGCCTGCCTACGATCCATCCTGGGTTTAACCATACTGGATTGTGTGAGGAGCTCACAAATCCTTGAAAGATCTGGGCAGGGTCCCATCGGTGAGCTCCTCCGGCAGGCAAGGCTGCGATGGCTGGGTCATGTAGCCCGCATGCCCAGCCACCGCATGCCGAAACAGCTTTTGTTTGGCCGGATTGAGGGGGCTAAGCGGGCGCGGCACGGGCTAGAGAAGAGATGGAGTGATGTGGTACAGGAGGACGTGGAGCTGAGTGGACTTGCCGATGACCGGTACCAGCGGTGTCAAGATCGGCCTCTGTGGAGGAGGCTCTTGAAGGACGCTACTGGGCAGTTGGAGGCAGTCGCCCTCCAACAACAACGGAGGGCGGAGGAGCGACGCTCAGAACAACGAGCGGAGCGCCGGGTGGCTAAAGCACAGCAGGTTGGCACAGTAGGGGGCACAGGTGGTGCATCAGCCAGTCATCTCAGTCAGTCGACCCGTGGCACCTGGGTCTGCCCAGTGACCTCCTGCCAGCGGGCGTTCGACACTTCACGTGGCCTCAGGGTGCACATAGCCTGGCACAAGCGTCGTGGTGACGTCACCGCCACTTAGTGGCGAATGGCGGTTGTTGTTGTTGTTGTGTCACTGTGTGTGTGTGTGGGGTGTGTGTCACTGTGTGTGTGGGGGGTGTGTGTGTCACTGTGTGTGTGTGTGGGGTGTGTGTCACTGTGTGTGTGTGGGGTGTGTGTGTGTCACTGTGTGTGTGTGTCACTGTGCGTGTGTGTTACTGTGTGTGTGTTACTGTGTGTGTGTGTGTGCGGAGTGTGTGTGTCACTGTGTGTGTGTCACTGTGCCAGGAGATTGAATACCTACCCTCGGGGCTACTCGAGAAACAACGAAAAGCCACTACGGGTGGCCACGTGGAATGTTCGAACGCTCACTGCGGAGGAGAGGCTGCCACTCCTCTGTCGGGAGCTGAACCGGTACCGCCTGGATCTATGCGGCATTCAGGAGGTCCGGTGGACCGGCTCTGGCTCCTGCCACCATGAGGGGTGGACAGTCCTCTACTCGGGGCAGCAGACTGCCAAACAACAGGGTGTGGGTCTTCTTTTGAACAAAAGAATGAAGGGGGCATGGGAGCGTGGCGGTGAGGTGTGGGAAGCTGTAAGCCCCAGGCTACTTTGGGCTCACCTTCCCATCAACCGGAGGCGTGGAATGGTGGTCGTGGTTACTTATGCCCCCACCGAAGATGAACATTCGTGGAGGGATGCAGGCAAAGCCGATGAGTCAGATGCCTTCTATGACCTCCTGTCACAGGTGCTGGCTAAAGTGGCCCCTCGGGATAGAGTCATCATGTTGGGTGACTTCAATGCCCGAGTTGGTCATGATACTGGCACCTGGTCTGGAGTGATTGGAGGGCATGGGCCAGATCAGTTCAATAACAACGGTAGGAGGCTGCTAGATTTTTGTGCATCCCATGGGCTTGTAATTACCAACACGCTGTTCCGGCATCGGCGCATCCACACAACATCATGGATGCATGCCGGGTCCAAGCAAGAACATCTGCTGGACTACATAGTGACGGACCAGCGGATGCGAGCCCATGTCCTTGACACCAGGACCTACCGTGGAGCTGATCTGCCCTCTGACCATCGACTAGTCATCCGTAAGATGCGCCTGCCATTCTTCCGCTCCGGTGGTGGGTGTACACCCAGGACCCCATTCCGACCTAAAGTGGCCTGGTCTCAGTTATCTGATGAAAGTTGCAAGCGATAATTTCATCATCGCTTGCGGCTGGGATTGGCATCGTCCCCCACTCCTCCTGATGTTGAGGGTAAATGGGCGAGGTTTAGGACTATCACTCATGCAGCTGCAATGGCTGCTTTGGGTACGTGGTCCAGACCTCCCCTATAGACCCTGGCTGACAGAGGAGGTGTTCAGGATGGTTGAGAAAAAGCGACAGGCCCACTGTCATCGGCTACAGAATCCCACGTCAGAGAATGAGGAGGCTTACCGCAGCCTTCGCTCAGGGGTTCGGAGAGCCGTGAGGCGCTGCAAGGATGGGTGGTGGTCGCGGGTTGCTGAGATGGAGTCTGCCTCAGTGGCCCTTGATCACAAATCTCTATTTAACTCCATCAAAAAAGTAACCTGCAGCGCCACACCTATTACCATCATTAGGGGAAAAAACGGTGATCCAATCTCCGACCCCCAGGAACAGGTTTGCAGATTTGCTGAGCATTTCTGTGAGGTCCTGGGGGAGGGAAAATCCCTCAGCCAGGAAAACATCGTGGCACAAAGTGAGGATGAGCCTGCTGAGGCTGCGGTGCCTCAAATATTGGAAGAAGTCACCCCCTGTGAGTGGCTGGCTGAGGTGCCATCTGTTGAGGAAGTACTGAAGGCGATCCGGAGTCTGAGACCAGGAAAGGCAGCAGGCAGAGATGATCTCCCAAGCGAAATGCTGAGGGAGGGTGGCGTTTGTGCACAGACTGCCCTATATGACATCATAACAACAGTCTGGACCACTGGACGGGTTCCGCAGGATTGGAAGGATGCCCTGGTGGTCCCTCTTTTTAAGAAGGGGGATCGCACAGACTGTAACAACTACAGGGGCATCTCACTCCTAAGTGTGCCGGGAAAGGTCCTGGCAAGGATTATTCAGCATCGCCTTGCCAGGCACGCTGAGGAGAGGCTTGCGGAGCCCCAATGCAGTTTCAGGAAAGGGCGGTCCTGCACAGATGCCATATTTTCTGTCCATCTGCTACAGCAGAGGTGCAGGGAATTCCAACAAGACCTACATCTCTGCTTTATTGACCTGGTCAAGGCCTATGATACCATCAGTAGGCCTGGGCTCTGGGTCGTTCTTCGTGCTTTTGGAGTACCTGACCCTCTGCTCACGATCATTAAGGACCTTCATGATGGTGAGCGGGCCCGGGTAAAACTACGTGGCCGGGAGTCAGAGCCATTCCCTGTACACCTTGGGGTGCGACAGGGATGTCCTCTGGCTCCCACATTATTTAACATCTATTTTGACAACGTAGTTCATGAAGCCTTCAATAGCTGTACCGGGGGAATCTCCATATGGTACAGATATAATGGGAGGCCGATCGATGCCCGGGTGCGGTCAAGGGATGGGTCCCTATTGCTCAACCACGTTATGTGTGTGGTGAGTCTGTGGGTCTCTGTGTGGTGAGTCGATGGGTCTGTGTGGTGAGTCTGTGTGGTGAGTCTATGGGTCTCTGTGTGAGTGAGTCTATGGGTCTCTTTGTGAGTGAGTCTGTGGGTCTCTGTGTGAGTCTATGGGTCTCTGTGTAAGTCTATGGGTCTCTGTGTGGCGAGTCTATGGGTCTCTGTGTGGCGAGTCTATGGGTCTCTCTGTGAGTGAGTCTATGGGTCTCTGTGTGAGTCTATGGGTCTCTGTGAGTGAGTCTATGGGTCTCTGTGTGAGTGAGTCTATGGCTCTCTGTGTGAATGAGTCTATGGGTCTCTATGTGGTTGTGAGTCTATGGGTCTCTGTGTGAGTCTATGGGTCTCTGTGTGGCGAGTCTATGGGTCTCTCTGTGAGTGAGTCTATGGGTCTCTGTGTGAGTGAGTCTATGGGTCTCTGTGAGTGAGTCTATGGGTCTCTGTGTGAGTGAGTCTATGGCTCTCTGTGTGAATGAGTCTATGGGTCTCTATGTGGTTGTGAGTCTATGGGTCTCTGTGTGAGTGAGTCTATGGGTCTCTGACTGGGTTTAAACCCACAGAATAGGCGGTACAAAATCAGATTTTAAAAACACAACATTTTATTGACCATTAAAAGTAACGTTCCAAAAACCACCCCACTAGAAGCTACGTGAAGTTTCAACGGAGTGCACCTCTGAGTGACACACACACACACACCAGCAGTGATTCACGCTGAGCCTGGCTGCTGATGAGACACAGAATGTGGAAACCACTCCTCTGAGTGACACACACACACACCAGCAGTGGCTCACGCTAAGCCTGGCCTGCTGATGAGACAGAGAATGTGGAAACCACTCCTCTGAGTGACACACACACACACCAGCAGTGATTCACGCTGAGCCTGGCTTGCTGATGAGACACAGAATGTGGAAACCACTCCTCTGAGTGACACACACACACACACACCAGCAGTGGTTCACGCTAAGCCTGGCTTGCTGATGAGACACAGAATGTGGAAACCACTCCTCTGAGTGACACACACACACCAGCAATGATTCACACAGAGCCTGGCTTGCTGATGAGACACAGAATGTGGAAACCACTCCTCTGAGTGACACACACACACCAGCAGTGGTTCACGCTGAGCCTGGCTGCTGATGAGACACAGAATCTGGAAACCACTCCTCTGAGTGACACACACACACACACCAGCAGTGGTTCACGCTGAGCCTGGCTTGCTGATGAGACACAGAATGTGGAAACCCCTCCTCTGAGTGACACACACACACCAGCAGTGGTTCACGCTGAGCCTGGCTTGCTGATGAGACAGAGAATGTGGAAACCACTCCTCTGAGTGACACACACACACACACACCAGCAGTGATTCACACAGAGCCTGGCTTGCTGATGAGACACAGAATGTGGAAACCACTCCTCTGAGTGACACACACACACCAGCAGTGGTTCACGCTAAGCCTGGCTTGCTGATGAGACAGAGAATGTGGAAACCACTCCTCTGAGTGACACACACACACACCAGCAGTGATTCACACAGAGCCTGGCCTGCTGATGAGACACAGAATGTGGAAACCACTCCTCTGAGTGACACACACACACCAGCAGTGGTTCACGCTAAGCCTGGCTTGCTGATGAGACAGAGAATGTGGAAACCCCTCCTCTGAGTGACACACACACACACCAGCAGTGATTCACACAGAGCCTGGCCTGCTGATGAGACACAGAATGTGGAAACCACTCCTCTGAGTGACACACACACACCAGCAGTGGTTCACGCTAAGCCTGGCTTGCTGATGAGACACAGAATGTGGAAACCACTCCTCTGAGTGACACACACACACACACCAGCAGTGATTCACGCTGAGCCTGGCTTGCTGATGAGACACAGAATGTGGAAACCACTCCTCTGAGTGACACACACACACACACCAGCAGTGATTCACGCTGAGCCTGGCTTGCTGATGAGACACAGAATCTGGAAACCACTCCTCTGAGTGACACACACACACACACACACCAGCAGTGATTCACGCTGAGCCTGGCTTGCTGATGAGACACAGAATGTGGAAACCACTCCTCTGAGTGACACACACACACACACCAGCAGTGGTTCACGCTGAGCCTGGCCTGCTGATGAGACACAGAATGTGGAAACCCCTCCTCTGAGTGACACACACACACACCAGCAGTGGTTCACGCTGAGCCTGGCCTGCTGATGAGACACAGAATGTGGAAACCGGGCCTTGCAATGCCAAGTGGCTCCTCCTCACCACCTCCTCACCGCCACCTCCTCACCACCACCTCCTCACGTCACTCCTCACCGCCACCTCCTCACCACCTCCTCACCACCACCACCTCACCACCACCACCTCAGGTCACTCCTCACCACCACCTCCTCACCACCACCACCTCAGGTCACTCCTCACCACCACTTCCTCACCACCACCTCCTCATCACGTCACTCCTCACCACCTCCTCACCACCACCACTTCACCACCTCCTCACCACCACCTCCTCATCACGTCACTCCTCACCACCACTTCCTCACCACCACCTCCTCCTCACGTCACTCCTCACCACCTCCTCACCACCACCTCCTCCTCACGTCACTCGTCATCGCCACCGCTGTCCCCGTCGTCACTGACGACCCCGCGGGGCCGGGCCCAGCCCGACAGGCCTCTCCTGGCCGCCGCTGCCGCCGAGTTGTCGTCCGTCGTCGCCGCCGCCGCTGCTGCTGCTGCTGCCGAGTCGTCGTCCGTCGCCACGGTTGCTGCTGCTGCTGCTGAGTCGTCGTCCGTCGCCACGGCCGCTGCCACGGCCGCTGCCGCTGACTCGTCGTCATCGTCGTCCGCTGCCGCTGCTGCTGCTGCTGAGTCGTCGTCTGTCGCCACGGCCACAGCCGCTGCTGCTGCCGAGTCGTCGTCCGTCACCGCTGCCGCTGCTGCTGCCGAGTCGTCGTCCGTCGCCACGGCCACGGCCACAGCCGCCGCTGCTGCTGAGTCGTCGTCCGCTGCCGTCGCCGCCACGGCCGCTGCTGCTGCTGCCGAGTCGTCGTCCGTCGCCACGGCGGCCGCCACCGCTGCTGCCGAGTCGTCGTCCGTCGCCACGGTCACGGCCGCTGCTGCTGCTGAGTCGTCGTCGCTGTCGTCGTCCGCTGCTGCCGAGTCGTCGTCCGTCGCCACGGCGGCCGCCACCGCTGCTGCTGAGTCGTCGTCCATCGCCACGGCGGCCGCCGCTGCCGCTGAGTCGTCGTCCGTCGCCACGGCGGCCGCCACGGCCGCTGAGTCGTCGTCATCGTCGTCGTCGTCGTCCGAGGGGAGCGCTCGCAGCTTCGGCGGGGACTGCCGGAGGTGGCCGTGAAGCTGCTCCTGCTCATCATCCTCCTCATCCTCATCATCATCCTCATCATCATCCTCCTGCTGCGTTTTGTTGGTGGTGGTGGCGGCGGTGGCGGTGAAGGGGGCGTTGTAAAGACTCCACACGTTGGTTCGCTTGGGGCGGCCTGGGACGAGGCGGAGGGGCGTGGGATTGTGAACATTTGTAGAGGGTGTGGGTGGGTGAGTGGGTGGGTGAGTGGGTGAGTGGGTGGGTGGGTGAGTGTGTGGGTGAGTGGGTGAGTGTGTGGGTGAGTGTGTGGGTGAGTGCGTGGGTGAGTGTGTGAGTGTGTGGGTGGGTGAGTGGGTGAGTGAGTGGGTGTGTGAGTGTGTGAGTGAGTGGGTGAGTGTGTGGGTGGGTGAGTGGGTGGGTGAGTGGGTGGTTGAGTGGGTGGATGAGTGGGTGGGTGAGTGAGTGAGTGGGTGTGTGAGTGTGTGGGTGGGTGAGTGGGTGTGTGAGTGAGTGGGTGAGTGGGTGAGTGTGTGGGTGGGTGAGTGGGTGAGTGAGTGGGTGTGTGAGTGGGTGAGTGTGTGAGTGTGTGAGTGGGTGGGTGAGTGGGTGGGTGAGTGGGTGAGTGGGTGTGTGGGTGGGTGAGTGAGTGAGTGGGTGTGTGGGTGTGTATGCAGGTGAGTGCGTGTGTGGGTGTGTGAATGGGTGGGTGAGTGGGTGGGTGAGTGAGTTGGTGGGTGGGTGTGTGTGTGTGGGTGGGTGAGTTGGTGGGTGGGTGTGTGTGTGTGGGTGGGTGAGTTGGTGGGTGAATGAGTGTGAGTGAGTCTGAGTGAGTGGGTGAATAGTGAGTAGGTGAGTGGGTGAATGAGTGGGTGAATGAGTGGGTGGATGAGTAGATAAGTGAGTGAGTAGTTGGTGAATGGATGAGTGAGTGGGTGAGTGAGTGAGAGTGAGTGGCTGGGTAAGTGTAAAGGTGTGTGGGTGGGTGGGTGAGTGGGTGAGTGGGTAAGTGGATGAGTGAGTGTGAGTTGGCGAGAGAGTGGGTTAGTGAGTTGGTGAATGGATGAGTGAGCGAGCGAGTAGGTGTGAGTGAGTAGTGAGTGGGTGAGTAGTGAGTGGTGAGTAATTGGTGAGTGTACCAGCAGTGAGGATGATGTTTCTAGCGTCCAGCTCCGTGTGTGTACGAGTGAGTGAGTTGGTGAGTGGATGAGTGAGTAGCGAGTGGATGAGTTAGTGGTGAGTGAGTGGTGAGTAATTGTTGAGTAATTGGTGAGTGTACCAGTGGTGAGGATGATGCTTCTAGTGTCCAGCTCCGTGTGTGTACGAGTGAGTGAGTGAGTGTGTGAGTTGGTGAGTGAGTGGATGAGTGAGTGAGTGAGTAGTGAGTGGATGAGTGAGTAATGAGTGGATGAGTGAGTGGGTGAGTGAGTGAGTAGTGAGTGAGTGGTGAGTAATTGGTGAGTAATTGGTAATTGGTGAGTGTACCAGTGGTGAGGATGATGTTTCTAGCGTCCAGCTTCGTGTGTGTACGAGTGAGTGGATGAGTGGATGAGTGAGTAGTGAGTGGATGAGTGAGTAGTGAGTGGATGAGTGAGTAGTGAGTGGATGAGTGGTGAGTAATTGGTGAGTAATTGGTAATTGGTGAGTGTACCAGTGGTGAGGATGATGTTTCTAGTGTCCAGCTCCGTGTGTGTACGAGTGAGTGTGTGAGTTGGTGAGTGAGTAGTGAGTGGAGGAGTGAGTGGATGAGTGAGTGGGTGAGTGAGTAGTGAGTGAGTGGTGAGTAATTGGTGAGTAATTGGTGAGTAACTGGTGAGTGTACCAGTGGTGAGGATGATGTTTCTAGTGTCCAGCTCCGTGTGTGTACGAGTGAGTGAGTAGTGAGTGGATGAGTGAGTGGATCAGTGGATGAGTGGATGAGTGGTGAGTGAGTGTGTGAGTTGGTGAGTGAGTGGATGAGTGAGTAGTGAGTGAGTGGATGAGTGGATGAGTGAGTGAGTGAGTTGGTGAGTGTGTGAGTGGATGAGTGGATGAGTGAGTAGTGAGTGGATGAGTGAGTGGAAGAGTGAGTGGATGAGTGAGTAGTGAGTGTGTGAGTGGATGAGTGAGTGGATGAGTGAGTGGATGAGTGAGTGGGTGAGTGAGTGGTGAGTGAGTGGTGAGTGAGTGGTGAGTAATTGGTGAGTAATTGGTGAGTGTACCAGTGGTGAGGATGATGTTTCTAGTGTCCAGCTCCGTGTGTGTACGAGTGAGTGAGTGGATGAGTGAGTAGTGAGTGGATGAGTGAGTGGATGAGTGAGTAGTGAGTGGATGAGGTGAGTGAGTGGGTGAGTGAGTGGTGAGTGAGTGGTGAGTAATTGGTGAGTAACTGGTGAGTGTACCAGTGGTGAGGATGATGTTTCTAGTGTCCAGCTCCGTGTGTGTACGAGTGAGTGAGTGAGTGGATGAGTGAGTAATGAGTGGATGAATGAGTGTGTGAGTGAGTGGTGAGTAATTGGTGAGTAACTGGTGAGTAACTGGTGAGTGTACCAGTGGCGAGGATGATGTTTCTAGTGTCCAGCTCAGTGTGTGTACGAGTGAGTGAGTGAGTGGATGAGTGGATGAGTGAGTGGATGAGTGAGTGGGTGAGTGGGTGAGTGAGTGGTGAGTGAGTGGTGAGTAATTGGTGAGTAATTGGTGAGTGTACCAGTGGTGAGGATGATGTTTCTAGTGTCCAGCTCCGTGTGTGTACGAGTGAGTGTGTGAGTTGGTGAGTGAGTAGTGAGTGGATGAGTGAGTAATGAGTGGATGAGAGAGTGGGTGAGTGAGTGGTGAGTAATTGGTGAGTAATTGGTGAGTAACTGGTGAGTGTACCAGTGGTGAGGATGATGTTTCTAGTGTCCAGCTCCGTGTGTGTACGAGTGAGTGTGTGAGTTGGTGAGTGAGTAGTGAGTGGATGAGTGAGTAGTGAGTGGATGAGTGAGTGGATGAGTGAGTGGGTGGGTGAGTGAGTGAGTGGGTGGGTGGGTGTGTGGGTGGGTGGGTGTGTGGGTGTGTATGGGGGTGGGTGTGTGGGTGGGTGTGTGAATGGGTGGGTGAGTGGGTGGGTGTGTGAGTGGGTGTGTGGGTGGGTGAGTTGGTGTGTGGGTGAGTGAGTTGGTGGGTGAATGAGTGTGAGTGAGTCTGAGTGAGTGGGTGAATAGTGAGTAGGTGAGTGGGTGAATGAGTGGGTGAATGAGTGGGTGGATGAGTAGATAAGTGAGTGAGTAGTTGGTGAATGGATGAGTGAGTGGGTGAGTGAGTGAGAGTGAGTGGGTGGGTAAGTGTAAAGGTGTGTGGGTGGGTGGGTGAGTGGGTGAGTGGGTAAGTGGATGAGTGAGTGTGAGTTGGCGAGAGAGTGGGTTAGTGAGTTGGTGAATGGATGAGTGAGCGAGCGAGTAGGTGTGAGTGAGTAGTGAGTGGGTGAGTAGTGAGTGGTGAGTAATTGGTGAGTGTACCAGCAGTGAGGATGATGTTTCTAGCGTCCAGCTCCGTGTGTGTACGAGTGAGTGAGTTGGTGAGTGGATGAGTGAGTAGCGAGTGGATGAGTTAGTGGTGAGTGAGTGGTGAGTAATTGTTGAGTAATTGGTGAGTGTACCAGTGGTGAGGATGATGTTTCTAGTGTCCAGCTCCGTGTGTGTACGAGTGAGTGAGTGAGTGTGTGAGTTGGTGAGTGAGTGGATGAGTGAGTGAGTGAGTAGTGAGTGGATGAGTGAGTAATGAGTGGATGAGTGAGTGGGTGAGTGAGTGAGTAGTGAGTGAGTGGTGAGTAATTGGTGAGTAATTGGTAATTGGTGAGTGTACCAGTGGTGAGGATGATGTTTCTAGCGTCCAGCTTCGTGTGTGTACGAGTGAGTGGATGAGTGGATGAGTGAGTAGTGAGTGGATGAGTGAGTAGTGAGTGGATGAGTGAGTAGTGAGTGGATGAGTGGTGAGTAATTGGTGAGTAATTGGTAATTGGTGAGTGTACCAGTGGTGAGGATGATGTTTCTAGTGTCCAGCTCCGTGTGTGTACGAGTGAGTGTGTGAGTTGGTGAGTGAGTAGTGAGTGGAGGAGTGAGTGGATGAGTGAGTGGGTGAGTGAGTAGTGAGTGAGTGGTGAGTAATTGGTGAGTAATTGGTGAGTAACTGGTGAGTGTACCAGTGGTGAGGATGATGTTTCTAGTGTCCAGCTCCGTGTGTGTACGAGTGAGTGAGTAGTGAGTGGATGAGTGAGTGGATCAGTGGATGAGTGGATGAGTGGTGAGTGAGTGTGTGAGTTGGTGAGTGAGTGGATGAGTGAGTAGTGAGTGAGTGGATGAGTGGATGAGTGAGTGAGTGAGTTGGTGAGTGTGTGAGTGGATGAGTGGATGAGTGAGTAGTGAGTGGATGAGTGAGTGGAAGAGTGAGTGGATGAGTGAGTAGTGAGTGTGTGAGTGGATGAGTGAGTGGATGAGTGAGTGGATGAGTGAGTGGGTGAGTGAGTGGTGAGTGAGTGGTGAGTGAGTGGTGAGTAATTGGTGAGTAATTGGTGAGTGTACCAGTGGTGAGGATGATGTTTCTAGTGTCCAGCTCCGTGTGTGTACGAGTGAGTGAGTGGATGAGTGAGTAGTGAGTGGATGAGTGAGTGGATGAGTGAGTAGTGAGTGGATGAGTGAGTGAGTGGGTGAGTGAGTGGTGAGTGAGTGGTGAGTAATTGGTGAGTAACTGGTGAGTGTACCAGTGGTGAGGATGATGTTTCTAGTGTCCAGCTCCGTGTGTGTACGAGTGAGTGAGTGAGTGGATGAGTGAGTAATGAGTGGATGAATGAGTGTGTGAGTGAGTGGTGAGTAATTGGTGAGTAATTGGTGAGTAACTGGTGAGTAACTGGTGAGTGTACCAGTGGCGAGGATGATGTTTCTAGTGTCCAGCTCAGTGTGTGTACGAGTGAGTGAGTGAGTGGATGAGTGAGTGGATGAGTGGATGAGTGAGTGGATGAGTGAGTGGGTGAGTGGGTGAGTGAGTGGTGAGTGAGTGGTGAGTAATTGGTGAGTAATTGGTGAGTGTACCAGTGGTGAGGATGATGTTTCTAGTGTCCAGCTCCGTGTGTGTACGAGTGAGTGTGTGAGTTGGTGAGTGAGTAGTGAGTGGATGAGTGAGTAATGAGTGGATGAGAGAGTGGGTGAGTGAGTGGTGAGTAAT